AAGGGGTGACAAGGGGGGAGGGAAGAGATTGACCAGAGAACATATATGCATTACCTATGGACACAGCCAATAGGATGGTGAAGGCTTGGGGTGGGGCAGGAACCAGTGGGATGGGACAGTGGTGGGTGATCTGTAATACTCTCAACAATAAAGATTTTTTTTAGTATTTGTGAATTTATTTTCTTATATACAGTGTCCCTTCTGGTTGTGTGTTAGCATTAGCTTTCTTTCCTTTCAGAATGCAGCTGCTGAATATTTGGTCTTGACTTGTGTTGATAAGGACTTCCTTCCCCATAGGAGCATAACTCTTCCTTCAAAGCTGACTATCTGTCAGGTCATTGTTTCCATCTGGTTTGTGGACGACATAGCTCCAATTTTCATTTTCTGATGGTTCTGTGTGCACTCGTGTGGTAAGCCAGTCAGGAGATGTGGGGCTGTCATCAGAATCCACAGTATTGCATTTTGTCAGAGGGCCTTTCATTGACTGTTGTCTATTCTTACAGCAATCACAGCTGTTATAAATGGGATAGTGACTACAGAGGTTAATTTGTTAGAGGTCTTTTGCTGAATGATCAGGAGTAGTTTCCTGTTAGGGGTTCTAGCACTGCTGTGAAAGCCTTATCTGTTTCCAAAGTTACAATAAAAGGTTTGTCATAGATACTCCCTCTCCCCCAAGTTTTCTTTTCAAGGGAACTTTTTAGTGTTTCAATTTGAGAACGATTTTGCAACTCCCTGGTGCTTAACCTCCATCCTTTTGCCTTTTCTGGTTTCTAGCAATTGCTGTGATACTTTAAAGGTTAGCAATTGTCAAAAACTTTAAACTGATAATACTTCTCTTTGGTCTATGAAGTCACTCAACTCCAAGCAGCAGCTAGAAGGAGGGATAGTGTGGCATTAATGTGATGGTTAGCTCACTTTCTACTCCTCCACCCCCCAGAGATGATCCCATAATGCTGTTGCACCTCTGGACATCCCAAGATGGGCTTAATTATTAGGTGATTTGAGAGAAAAGGGTATAATTTGTTTGAGTTATCTTCCTTCATTCTCCTGAAAAAGATAGAGTTAGAATTCGTTAGAAGAATTAAAAAAGAGTACAACTCAGTTTTTTGGTTTTGTTTTGTTTTTGCAGTTTATTTATTTTAATAAATCTTTATTCAGATTATTACAGTTGTTCCTCTCCCCCCCCCCCCATAGCTCCCCTCCACCCAGTTCCCACCCCATCCCCTGCCCTTACCCCCACCACTGTCCTCGTCCATAGGTGTACGATTTTTGTCCAGTCTCTTCCCGCACCCCCCACACCCTTTTCCCCCCAAGAATAGTCAGTCCACTCCCTTTCTATGTCCCTGATTCTATTATATTGATCAGTTTACTCTGTTCATCAGACTTTTTATTCACTTGATTCTTAGATTCACTTGTTGATAGATGTGTATTTGTTGTTCATAATTTGTATCTTTACCTTTTTCTTCTTCTTCCTCTTCTTAAAGAATACCTTTCAGCATTTCATATAATACTGGTTTGGCATTGATGAACTTCTTTAGCTTTTTCTTATCTGTGAAGCTCTTTATCTGACCTTCACTTCTGAATGATAGCTTTGCTGGGTAGAGTAATCTTGGTTGTAGGTTCTTGGTATTCATCACTTTGAATATTTCTTGCCATTCCCTTCTGGCCTGCATAGTTTCTGTTGAGAAAGCAGCTGACAGTCGTATGGATACTCCCTTGTAGGTAACTAACTGCTTTTCTCTTGCTTCTTTTAAGATTCTCTCTTTGTCTTTTGCCCTTGGCATTTTAATTATGATGTGTCTTGGTGTGGTCCTCTTTGGATTCCTTTTGTTTGGGGCTGTCTGCGCTCCTGGACTTGTAAGTCTATTTTTTTGACCAGGCAGGGGAAGTTTTCTGTCATTATTTCTTCAAATAGGTTTTCAATATCTTGCTCTCTCTCTTCTTCTGGCACCCCCATAATTTGGATGTTGGTACGCTTGAAGTTGTCCCAGAGGCTCCTTGCACTATCTTCATATTTTTGTATTGTTTTTTCCTTTCGCTTTTCCGGTTGGGTGTTTTTGGCTTCTTCGTATTTCAAATCTTTGACTTGATTCTTGTGATCCTCTAGTCTGCTGTTGGATATCTGTATATTATTCTTTATTTCAGTCAGTGTATGCTTAATTTCTAATTGGTCCTTTTTCATATCCTTGAGGGTCTCACTATATTTCTTGGAGGTTTCTAGAAGATTCTTGAGTAACCTTATAACCATGGTTTTGAATTCTATATCCAGTATTTTGCTTTCCTCCATTTCTTTCATTTGTGACATGTTTCTTTGTCTCCGCATTTTGGCTGCTTCCCTGTGTTTGCTTCTATGTATTGGGTAGCTGCTAAGTCTCCTTGAGTTGATAGAGTGGCCTTGTGTGGTAGATGTCCTATAGGGCCCAGTGGCTCAGCCTCCCCAGTCACTTGAGCTGGACACTCTAGGTCAGGGGTGGGCAAACTTTTTGACTTGAGGGCCACAATGGGTTCTTAAACTGGACCGGAGGGCCGGAACAAAAGCATGGATGGAGTGTTTGTGTGAACTAATATAAATTCAAAGTAAACATCATTACATAAAAGGGTACGGTCTTTTTTTTTTTTTTTTTTTTTTTTTTAGTTTTATTCATTTCAAACGGGCGGGATCCAGCCTGCAGGCCGTAGCTTGCCCATGGCTGCTCTAGGTGCATCCCTTTGTGGGCTGTTTGCACAGTCTCATTGTAGTTAAGCCTTAATTGCTGTTGGGAGGAATTGACCTCCAGGCCAGTTGGCTGTGAGGACCAATTGTGTCTATAGTGGGAGAACTGCTGTGCTGGAGACACCTTTATCGGGCAAGACTTGCTTCAGTGGGGCTTTGGTGCTCTCTGAGTCTGCCCCCTGAGTGTGTCCCTTATGGATCCGAGGAGCTGCAATCTGGATGGTCCCACTCTGACCACTGGGTCGACTGGCTCTTGGATTTCCAAGGAGGTGCAAAGTCAGCAACTGCCTGAGGCCACCCAGCAGGAGCTACACAGAGATCTGCAGATTCCTCCTCTTTGTTTGGGGTTTGGAGGTGCCCAGATGAGGCGCAGCTGTTCTTTTGGAAGCCCTTGGGCTCTTTGACCCAGCTGCAGTTTGACAGGTTTTTAGGCAGAGAAAGGCCAGGCCATTCGTATGCAAAAACCTCTGCGCACAGCTTGGGTGGGGTTGTACATTGGGTGGATCAGGGTCTCAGGGAACCACCAGGGCAGAGCAAATAGCCATGGTTGCCTGTTGGGCTTGGGTCCCTGGGTCTCTGTGTCCTGCGGCCCCATGCAGGAACAATGACCACTGCAAGCACCTCTGCGAGAAAGCCGCCCTCACGTTCCAGCCTGATGCCAGACAGTCCTGTTTCTCTCCATATGAGTCTGGGTCCCCAGATTCTCGCCCAGAACTGGAGTTCAGAGCATTTGGGAGATACTATCTCCTTCCCGATTGAAAAAGACAACAGCATACCCAGCTGCCAGCCCCTTTCGCACGCGCCTTCGTACCTCCACACTTCCACACCTCTGCACCTCCTGCCGGACTCAATGCGCTTTTCTCTTTCCTTCTAGTTGTAGAATTTCCACTCAGCCAGCCTTCCTGTGGTTCTGGATGATATTCGTTTTGTCTTTTAGTTGTAGTTTTAATGTGGTTGTGTGAGGCAGGAAGTTTGGGTGTTTTACCTATGCCACCATCTTCCACAACTCAGGTTTGAGAGAACTGGTTTTTTTTGCTTCATTTTCTTTGGACATATTGTTTTATTTCTAAAGATGTATCAGTGGCAAAACACAAGTTGCAGGAAAGCCCCTCCTTCCACCAGCCCCACTCCCCCGCACGTATCTGCACGCACACACCCACCATGGTCTGTCCGCTCCCTCAGGGCAGCCTCCCACATGCCCCTCCGAGTTTTACTGCCGTCCTCCAAAGAGCCGCTTGTTCAAGGCAAGTGCTATGTTGTTCACATTGAGAAAATAATTAAAACCCAAAAATGATGTCGAAATCTATTATGTTTTCAGTGGCTCCAGAAATTTCTTTTCCTGTACTTTTGTGGCAATTTCCCCATTCGCAGTTGCCCTTAAAAGGGGGAAACAAGCAGTTTTTAGCAGGGAAGAAGAAAAAATACTCTTTCACCTTCCTTATCTAGGTTTCTACAAATTAATTCACCCAAAATTTGAGAGAGGGTTTCCTTAGGTTTTTCATGAGAACATGTTTATATTAAAATGGTACTTCATATTTTACAAAATTCACTTTCCTGTTATATGAATGAATAAGGAGAATGGGGCACCTTATACCTCTGAACGTTCCTGCTGAAACATGCCAGTAATGGTTTGCCATTGTGGACGCTTGTGCACTGTACCAACATTGTTGAACTTCCCAAATGGTGGAATTTACTAGTTTTTACAACATTTTCTTGAATATAATGAAAAAGTACTTATATTGTAATATGCTTAGACCTTTTAACTTTAATAAATTATATTGGTTCTAGTATATACTTCGTTACTTATTTTACTTGTATGCTATGCTTAAACATATTTTAAGTTTGCCTTCAATTTCCTGAGAAGGGTTTTTCTCCTCAGCCAAATAAAATAATATACAGTGAGTCTTGGATCTGGGAAAACGAAAGTTCCAGCTAACAAGAGCTGGAAACTCATCTCTCTTGTTCACTGTTATTTTCCTGGAGCCTAGAAACAGTGTGTGACACGAGTACTCAGAAAAGTGTGTGTTTAATGAATGAGATTAAGTGAGTTGCCTTTTCACGGCTTTTGTGAGGTTTATTTTAAGTTCGCTTTTTATGTTAAGTCAAGCATTACCATTACCTTATGCATTATAGCAGAATGCTGAAGAATGGGACTCAGTGGAATTAAGTGCTTGAATGACCCACAGAGAGAGAAATACGAGTTAAGAACTAAAGGGGTGTTGGTAGGAAATATCCCCTACGTATGCCAAACCCACTAAAACATTCCCACCTTTTGCATCTCCCCCAGGAGCACTCACTGTGGGCCTTGTGCGACAGTGTCAGACAATCCATGGACGAGACCGAACATGCATCCCACCTCGGCTGCCCCCGGAGTGGGTGACCACACTGTTTTTTATCATCATGGGAATCATTTCATTGACTGTCACATGTGGTTTGCTGGTGGCTTCCCACTGGCGAAGAGAAGCTACAAAATATGCTCGATGGATAGCATTCACTGGAAGTAAGTAACCTGTGCTAGTAATTTGTCTAGAAGGCGTGCACACTGGTATTTTTCTGAAGATAATCAAGAATCAGTAATAAGGACTCCATAATCATCAGAGAGCAGCACTTATGGCCGTCAGATAAACTGCACAGTCCCATCGGTTCTTCAGAATTCTCAACACAAGACCAGGACATCCAAAACCTTAATTGCTTTGTATGAAATGCTATTTTAATGAATTTTATTTTTGTTAACATTGTACATGAGTGTTTTGAGGTCTGTGACTCAGAGCTACCACTAACCTGAGTCTTTTTCTCTTCTGGAAGGTATTGGTATCTTCTATCAAATAAAGATAAATCTAGATGAAAATCTAACAAATATAAATTAGATGTAGATGCTGATGTTCTTTTTAATGCCATTGATTTTTAGTTTTTTTCTGTCAGCTATATGTGACGATTGAAAAATCAACACATAGGATTATTTTATAATTGTTTCTCAACATTTCTTACTCTATTAGTCAATGCCCAAAGGTGTGATATATTTATATGTTGCACAGTCCTTTGTATTTTGCAGAATTGGTGTAATTTCAAAATGTCAGAGGCTTAGCCCAAGTTAAAGGAAACAAAAATGTACAAAGAAAAGCTGTTTCTGTAATTTTACTTTCATGCTTCTTTTTCTCTGAAGCAGTGTTGCCCCCAGGAGACATTTATCAATATCTGGAAACATTTTTGGTTGTCACGAGTAAAGGGGGATGCTACTGACACCTAGTGAGTGGAGGCCAGGGATGCTGTAAACATCCTACATCTACGCAGGACCGTGCGACAGCAAAGGCTTCTCTGGCCCCCAATGGCAGGAGGGCCCCATTGGAGAAGCCATGCTCTAAGACAGAGCCTGACGGTACTTACGCCACACGACAGGACTGGACTTTTAGTTCAGTGCCTAATCATCTCAGGTTTGCATAAGTTTTTTTTAAGTGACTATTATAACACAGCTTACTTTCACTTGCTATTTTCATTTAGAACTCATAGGCTAGGGATGCAGCTTAATCCCACATATCCCTGTTGTTAAAACTCAATGTATCCTTATAAGACAATAAGATAAGGGTATAGTCCACAAGCTGCTGTCTCTCCCTCTCTGAGAAACTCTCTTAATGTATGCTTCTAGTTCTGCTTTATTATTGTCTCTATCTCTGCTTTATTTTTAAATTTAGATCAAGTTGCTTTTTAAAAATACATTTTTATTGATTTCAGAGAAGAAGGGAGAGGGGATAGAGAGAGAGAAACATTAATGATGAGAATCATTAAACACCTGCCTCCGGCACGCCCCCTACTGAGGATCGAGCCTACAACCCGGGCATGTGCCCTGATTGAGAATCAAACCCTAACCCTAATCTTAACCTCCTGGTTCATAGGGCAACACTCAACCACTGAGCCATACCAGCCGGCAGATCAAATTGCTTTTGACATAAAAAAATCTCCATTCTTGTTAAGAAATATGAGACAAGCCCTGACCGGTTTGGCTCAGTGGATAGAACGTTGGCCTGCTGACGGAAGGGTCCCGGGTTCGACTCTGGTCAAGGGCGTGTACCTTGGTTGCAGGCACATCCCCAGTAGGGGGTGTGCAGGAGGCAGCTAATCGATGTTTCTCTCTCATCGATGTTTCTAACTCTCTATCCCTCTCCCTTCCTCTCTGTAAAAAATCAATAAAAATATATTAAAGAAAAGAAAAGAAAAAAAATATGAGATAAGGTGATGATCTTTCGTGAGGTCGAACAAACTTCCCAAGACAGTTCTTTTCTAGATAGTAGGGTCCAGAGACAGTTGTAGAGACAGTGCTGCTACCTTAAAGGGTATTGATGAGGAATTTTAAGGAAATCTTTACTCACAGGGTATATTCACTTGTTCAGAGAGCATTTACTCTTTATGTAAAATCAAAGAAGAAGCATATAGTTTTTGGATTTAGTTAAAATTTGGGAATACATAAGCTATGAATATGAAAAAAATCTCAAATACAGTTTAACAGAGTAGTATGCAGCAAAGTATTCATTAAGATGCTCACTGAGCCATTGTTTCCTGTGACCCAGTAAAGGGAAAAAACTATGATTATGTTGTTTAAGTTTTTAAAATAATATGCATATAATAATGCAAAGTCTATGAGTGTCACTAAATGAAAAGTAAGTCTCATTTGTGTCCCTGTCACCCAGATATCCAATACCCCTTTCCTTGAGGTAACACTGTTGTTACTAGTATCTAGGGTTTCCTACCAGAGGTGTTCTAGGCATAAAACCATGTATGTACACGTGAGTGCTCTGTAACTGTATATTCTGTTTATATTATTGTGTCCCTTGGGGTTTTTTAGCTCCAGAATATATATTGGAGTTAATGTCATCTAAGTAAGCACAGAGCTGCATTCCTCTTAGCTTCCTTAAATACATTGTTTTTTGTTACTGGAGCTAATCCACTGGGTTGGCAGTCCTGAGGGGGTTGGGCTCCCCCTAGTGTTTCCATTCAGCCTTTGAAAATGTACTGTTGCCTGTCATCATCTCGATTGCATACATTTCTGTTCCAGTTAAGCTGTAGTTTTGGTAAGACTGTGAGGGTAGTATTTTCTGTTTGGTTTACACAGCGGGGAAACCTCTCCGAGGAGAGCCACACATGGTGGGGGAGAGGGGGCAGCAAAGGTGTCCTTTTCTTCAAGTCTGACCCTGGCCTTCTCCTTTACCTAATTCACATCCGCATCTACCACCACACCTGATATTTAACTCCCACCACCATGGAGGATACGAAGTTACGTCTCTATTGGCTTATTTGGGACCCAAAACTTAATAGTCAAAAGTTGATAGATATTATCAGTTAATATTTTAAGATCTAATGTAACTTCACAGGTCTCATGGTTTAAAAGAAAAATCATCTACCCACATTAAATATCCCCAGGAAGTATAGAGAACCCAATATTTTGGATTAAAATCCAAAATTAGATTGAATAGGAGTTGCTTCCTTTAAATTTGATTAAGCTTTTCCTAACCAATTTGGAAGAAGAATTAAGTCTTGTAAAATATTAAACTCTACTTTAAGTATAGTCGTTAGATGTTTACTCCATTATAATGGATAGATTTTTATTTTACAATAGAAAATATGAAAGGGTAAAAATAAAGTCAGCATATCGGTTAACAGAATGAACTGTATATCAGCATATGTCTAAATTATTTTAGTTTTTGAGATTAGAAGAAACAAATTGATTTTAAAACTAATCATATCCCATTGTTTTTATAGATTAAGTTTAGCTACTTAGATTGTGGTTTCATTTTACTTACCAAACCATATTAAGGTATAAGAATTATTAGAAATTGGTGACAGGTAATACTGATAAGTGGACATTGGCAGCACTGATGAAGTTATTTATTGCTGACTATACAACAGAAGGACCAAAAGATCTAACACTTAATTACTGTATTTTTTATTTGTTCTATTGTAGGTATCCAAGAGAATCCAAATGTGCTGTGTAACATTTGGCATGGTCATTCGCCCAAAATGAGATAGACTGTGTGTATAATATAAAATAATCCACCTAAATAGTGCAAAGCAAACAAATGTACTGGTGTATCTCTTGAATTAGTATGTTACTTGAGAAAATGTTACTTTTTAATACATTTCTGGAGCTGTTCCAGGAAAAGACTCCCATTTTGACTATTTTTTTGGTTAATTTGCTTTTTTTAAAGTATATTTTTATTGATTTTAGAGAGGAAGGAAGAGGGAAAGAGAGATATTGATCAGCTGCCTCCTGCACGCTTTCTACTGGGGAATCAAGCCCGCAACCCGGGCATGTGCCCTTGACCGGAATCGAACCTAGTACCCTTCAGTCCGCAGGCCAGTGCTCTATCCACTGAGCCAAGCCAGCGAGGGCTCTTCTTTTGGCTTTTAAAGGACTCTATTAAGTTTTATTGATTGGCCCAAAAGTAATTTAAGACAAGTGTCATCTGATATGTTTATCCAGGACTGTCACTATTCCTTGGAATGGGTCTAACTTGGGAAAGGTTTCTCATTCAGATTATAACGGAAAGCTTCAACTCTTCATATACAATGAGTATAGTAATCTGTCTTCACATTACACTGAGAAATGTTTCTGCCTCCAGAATTGAAAAGACTGTTCACATTTTACCAATGTGCTTTCAAAAAGCATAAACTGTTTTCTTGGAAAAACTAGCCTATCCATAGGCAGTCTGCATTTGCTCAGAACATTTCTTCTATAGCACCGGGGAGCACACTGTTTGCTAAAATAGTGGCCTGTGGAATTACTTCTACTCAGACAGTGGGTTTTCTGATATTTTTCTAGAAACATTTTTAGCAAATACTAGATTTCATTGTGTTTGTATACAAAACTCAAAGGTTTCTCACCCTCCCCCACCTGTGTATATTCAGAAACCTAACAGGTTGGGTGGTTTGGGGGTGGGGGGCTTTGTCCATGATAAGAGATAGCCACTCTGACAATTTGCTAATCATTGCGGAAGTCTGAGATTCTTTCCACTAGCTGACTTTAAACCAGAGTGAGGTAAATGGTACTTGGATGTACCCTTTCTCTGATTCCTTTTAACTAGTACCAACTGAGAGGAACAGAGAATTGGCAAAATAATAACTCCAATGACATGCAACATTTATTCAGCACTTACTCTCAATGTGGCTGGCACTGTGCCAGGACTTGCTAATGTTTGTTTATACTTCTAGCATTTACTTCATTTTCAGAAGGGAACCAGAAGCCTGAGATTACACAGCTATTAAGTAGCACAGCCAGAATGTAGCCCTGAATCACCATTTAAGTAAATGGTCAAGAGTAATGCATATGAGTACTTGGTAGGTTTGGGGACCTTTCTTAACGCTGATATTTGAAATTGTCTCAAAAGGCTAATCCAGCTTTCCCTGAATTTAATTGTTAGATTTGGGGGATATTATATGATCTGTAGTATATGCAAATATTTTGACAAGTGGTTTATGTTTTGACAGGTTTGACCATGTTATCAATCCACAACCCTTCTTATAAACTTCCTTTGCGCCAAATTTTCATTGTTTTCCTAATCACCAAACCATGTTACTAATGTTGTGTTTTGGTTTGTTTTACAGTGATCCTTTTCTGTATGGCTGCCCTAATATTTCCAATAGGATTTTACATCAATGAAGTCGGAGGTCAACCTTATAAATTACCCAACAACACAGTAGTTGGGTCATCATATGTACTTTTTGTCTTATCCATTTTCTTTACAATAGTAGGACTTCTGTTTGCTGGCAAAGTTTGTTTACCAGGCTGATGAATGTCTACATTGCTTGACATTTTAATTATTTTTTATTTTATTTAAATTTTTTATTTTTGGAGGGTGGGGAGGACAAAGGCAAGGCATCTGAGTAGTCCTGGCTTAGAAAGATGCTTAGATGAAACTGATGCTGAAAAGAAGAAGAAGAAGAAAAAAAAAAGCTTTGATTTGTTCTCACTATGCACTTTGGATTTTTTTTAAAAAAGAGAGCCTTTTCCGTAACCAAATACAGACAATACTGACTAACCCCCTGAGCATATTTCCAGGCCGTCGGGTCTGCACTGTGGTAGTCGCCTAGTGAGGGAGAATGCTTTCTGCTGAAAGGCATGGGGCCCTTTGTGACTCTATTGTTCCGTTTTTAACGTCTAATGGTTCATTTGAGGAAAAAAAATTCTAAGTATTTATGAAACATGGTGGACCAGAGGGATGCAAGAGAAGTTCCTGTGGGGCTGGCCTCACCTCCTAAGAAATTAGTGTTCACAGCTTCCTTATAGTTGTATGAGCCTGTGGCACCAGAGGGGATTGCCATTGCGTTACTGCACCAAGAAGCCAATAGATCAAAACTTGTTTGCTAAAATGTATGTAAAAATTCTGAAATTCCCTATTCTCTGTGTACAAAAAAAAAAATAAAACACTAAGAAACATGTTACTGGGGGTGGGGGGGGGGAAATGTTCCTTATATTTATATAAATATATATAATATATATATTTTGCTGATGCAGTATACAGTGTATATATGTGTGTATGTGTGTATGTGTGTGTGTGTGTGTGCGTGCGTGTGTAAATTTATACACACACACGCAAACGGTTCCTAGAAGAGAACTCTGAATGCTTTGCTAGCAAAACACTGTGGTGTGCAAACCTAGAACTCAATAGAAAAAAGCCATTTATCTGAAGGCTGTGTAGTGGAGAGAGTCTTCAGTTTACCTCATTCTTTGTAACAGCCCTTGATTTTAACAGGTTTTTGTAATAGGTACAAATAATCCCGTATCTTTCTAGGTGCAATTTTAAGTTCAGCTAAAATTCTTTGTAGGTTAAGTTGTTTGCATGTGACAGTAGAAGGTAAGACCATGTCAAACCTCGGAGTGAGGGAATTTGGCACAATTTAAATTATGGGCAGCTGTTGTTTGTTGTGCAGAGGTTCTTTGTCTACTGATGTCAGTTCACAATATTCTGGCCATTTGCCACCCCCCCCCCCCCAGGATCACTCTGCAGTAACAATTAAGTGTGTTCTTTTCATCCATAGGCATTATTATTAACACATCTCCTTTACCAAAACCCGAGCAATACAATGTCTTTCATGTGCTGTAAGCCTGTGCTTGCTAAAAGCTACCTTCCTGTATTTACGTTAAAGGGCTGCAAACCCACAGCTTTATGTTTTTCCTAAAGAAGCATTGCCGCTGGCCCTGAACCCACATGTTGTTTTAAAATACACATTTCTCTTCTCCACGTCTCAGGCCCGTGTCAGTGCATAGTTTTCCAGGTGAACACTACAGGTATCTCCTGTTTGAAACGTGGGGCAGGAGGGTCTTCCATGCCAACGGAGCTAAGCGTTTTCTTCTTTAGAGGAAATGGCAATCTGAGTGTCCCGGGCAGGAGAGCCCTGTGAAGTCCACGCACCGTGTATGTAGTACAGCTTCACACACACACTGCTTTTCAGACGCTTAGGTCATGGAGAATGGGCACTTCAGAGCGGGGCTGCCGCCTCAGGTGTCCCAAGTGCGAAGTGGAGGAAGCTGCTCTTTTCCACGCTGGCTGGCTTCATGTTTCTGCGTCTCACTGTGAGTTCAGCAGTATTTTATTGCGGAAGAAAACCCCAGTGTTGCAGCTCACTCAAGAGGGGGGTAAGAGGTGAGCCACCACTGAGGCGCGTTCCTGGAGTGTTAGGGGTGTCTCACTTTTCCTTCCCAGGGCCAAAGAAACCTTAGAAGATGCTTGAAAGAGACTCTTTTTCCCCAAGTGTTGTGATGTCTAGTCAGGACTGAGAGTACCAGTGGACGTGTTTGGGGGGCGTTTGGGATCGCTATTCCCAGGGGGATTTATGTGACTGGTCCTCAGTCCCATGGGTCACTTGAAGGAAAGCTTGGTTGTCACCATTATACCACTGAGATAAAGTGTTAGCAAAGTGTGGTTCAAATTAACTTATATGACCGAGAGTTCTTCTCTTCCAAAAAGATGCATTTTATTGTAAATAGTCTCTCAAAATATTTTTAACTGGATCATGAGGATGGGGAGAGAAAGTTTCTCAGCTGCTAAGAATTTCCCCACTGTTTACTTCTTTCACTTACAGTGACATTGCAGGATGACAGAGCGTAAGGTTTTACTTCTATCTATTACCCAAACCATTCAGTTGACTATAATTTCATCATCATCTCGGAGGTCCAGTGCATAAAGGACTGACGGGGGAAACTCCCTACAACCAGTCAGCACCCGGTTAAAACCGTCCATCACAGTGTGTGACGTCAGACCTTTGTATTCTTCCAGACCAGACACTGAAATGGACTCATTCATATAAAATTCTATACATCCTGTAAGTGAAAAGAGAGGCAACTGTCAGCAGTTGCTTTTAAAAGGTCACAATAAGTACTATATAGTACAGTATTAATTTATAGCAGGAAATCATAGCTTGTAAACTGTATATAAAACACTGTTTTATGGTGCAATCATTCGTCAAACTTTTGTCTGTTACATTGTTTTTAGAGTGTGTATTCTCATACCTAAGAACACACTGTAAAATCTGCTGAAAACTAGTTGTAGGTTTTATTTGCACAGGATTTAATTAGTTTGAATTTTTTGGAAGCTCCTATTAAATATGCCTAAACACCTGTAAATGTGGAAAATCTTCCTTTCATTAAAAGCAACATTTCAGTATGATTCTTTCCAAAGGTAATCCATGTTCTTTGTTGTCAATGTGTGTATGTGATTTTTCTGACTCTTCTACTTCTTATAAACTTTATGTTCCATTTGTTTTGTTCTTAAAGGATAGCTCTTTCCCCCGCCCCCCTTCTTTTTAGTGTTCTATATGACCAAAAGACTTCATTGATTTTTTTTCTTACCCTTTTGCCTAAAGTTTTGGTATTCCCACTTGATGTTCAGTAAATTCACGGTTTAATCTCTTAAGTAAATGATCAGTCCTGGCGACACACGATCTGTTGACATAGAGGAAGGCCCTGAGAGGGTGTTGGGAACTCGCTTTGGGTCACTCTTAGCTATTGTTTTGCATCGTGGGCTTCATGGGAAGAACAGTTGCATTGATTTTGTCTTCATTAAAAGGCTGCTAGCCACAGTTACTCTGACTGTAGTGACTGTTTTACCAACCCACTTTAATCTTCTTCTAAAATTAAACGTACATTCACAATACAAAACAGTAAGCTGTCTTTCAGAGCTAATTTTTGAAGGATAAAAATATGTGAAGGAAAAAAGTGGCCTGTGTAGGTTGGGTTCCCTACACAGGACTTATTGTATCACCGCAAGAGATTTTGAAGTTTGTGATCAAGGTCTGTATATTACCCCAAACTTTATTAAGAATTGTTTTGTAATTGGTTATAACACTTTTCAATTAATAGTTTCAAAATAAATTGTTAATACAAAATGTATAAAATGAACATAATTTTCTTCACTTGTATTTTTGTTATTGAGCAAGTTATCAAAATAAATTGTCTACTAAAACTAAAAGGGCTTCTATTACTTTGAAATAAGCTTTGATTTTAAAAATTTATTTCAAAATTGACTTGGAGATTTCACATATTCACACAGTGGCACTTCCATGCCTTAGTTTGGTTTTGCTGTTAGCAGTGTGGGGAAAAGTCTCCCCCCTCTTCTTCCATTTCCACTCCCAGCTCCCCATCTAAGGAGAGATGCCGTTAATATTCCAGAATAGATCACACCATGTTTACCAATGAGAGTCAGTCAGCAAGAAAAGACCATACACATGTGACTCTCCCTTGTGTTTCATGTTTCTGAACGAGGAGAGAGAACTGAGCCCAGGCTCCTGGAGCCAGCCATCTTTTCTTTCTTCCTTGCACAAAGACCTAAGCCTGTTCATCTTTGCTTCCTTCTTCTGTTTCTACTTTTCCTGCAGGCCAAAGGATCTTAGCGTCTAAGATTTAGATTTGTGTTGAAGGAGGAATAGAGACCCTTGGTGTCTAGACTTGTCCATGTGCCCCGTCAAGGTTTCCCGGAGCTATCGAGATGAGCCTAGTCTGATAACTGATGATCAAGTAAAACACTTTATTTACCCCTTGCTTCTGTCTCCTCTTTATATGGCCCCTTTTGGAGCCTCAATGGGGAGTTGAGAGAGTAAGACAAGGTAGGATTTGGACTTTCTGGAGTTCTGGATCTTAAGTGCATTTTCTTGTGCTCAACTTTTGCAGTTTGCCCAAGACTGAGGGGTTTCCTGGGACACAAGACTTTCAGTGTCTTAACTGAGAAAGTTCCAGGTAAACAGGATAACTTGTTCACCCATCTGCACCGTCCAACCCTACCCTGATGTATAACATAGATGAGAGGTATCAGAAGAGTTCTTTTCCATAAGCCTATTAGTGAATAGGTCAGTTGGAAATTGTAATGGTGGGTTTATAGTGAACTAAGTTAGGGGGGCACTTTTCCCTGCTCTATGGTAATACCTTATGAAAAGGCAACAGATTGGCCCTCAAACCAATAACATGGGTTCAAAAATACTGTTACCTGGTCTCCCACCAATTCTAGCCACTCTGAGAAGATTATAGAAAAAAAACACCAAGACTGTTTCTTTTAAGCAAAGTCAACAGTTCTGGGTCTCAGTTACCCAGCAACAAAATAAAAG